AATGCAGTACCTGGGTATGAAACTGAGAGCAAGAAGGGCTGGGGAACCAAGCAGTCTAGTCTATACACTTCAGTGGACTCCCCCCAACCCCATAGGGCGCTCTCTCTCTCTCTCTCTCTCTCTCTCTCTCTCTCCTTTGCCCTTTGCCTCTTTCCAGATGGAGAAATACTGATCCAATAGAGACCAACCAGCCAGATGGATTGCTTCATCCTCAGCTGCTGACTTCCCAGCTCTTGTGCAAAACACAGGAACTCCTTGTGCTCATTGTGACCCACTTCCTTTCTTACTAGGACCTGCTCAGGGTAGAGGCTTAGGTCTCAGTGGCTTCTCTTGTTTTTGCAAAAGGAAAATAATCTCCCTGTCATAGTCGCCAATAGGTTTTTCCCATGACTTTTCCCATGGCACCTCCCAGGTGGGAGAGAAAAGAAAGGAACACTGACTGTGTCCTGAGATGAGCTTCAAAGATACCCAGGAGGGCAGAACACAATATAAAACCACTTGTTAAGATTATAGTGTTATTTGAATATGAGGGATTGAAGTGGGTTGACACAGGTCTTGGAGTCCAGGGTCTGTATCTGGGCTCTAGCACGGAGCCAGCTGCACGTGCAGCTTAAAGGACATTTTTATGGTTTTGAGTTTTCAGTTTGGCAGGCAGGCAATGTGTCCTGGAGTAAGGGCTCTCTTATGTCCAGAGACGGGTCCTTGTGAGAAGCACAGTGTGTGGGGGGTGGGGGTGGGCAGAGGCGAGAGTTTTTGTCCTCAGTGTGTTGTCAGTCCAAAGATGTTGATGGGATAATCATAAATGCTGGTACATAAAACACTGATATGTGATTAAATACAAATTAATGGAACTACATAGAATGATACATTCTACATAAATAAGTGCTTAGACAGTTGCTAGACAAATGGAAATGATTAGAGATGGGTGAGGTTAGTTCAAGCAAGGATCGGGAAAGAGAGCTGTTTTGAGAAATGCCTTTATTATCTTGTGCCCAAACAGCTCTGAGCACAGGCACCTTGGCCAGCTCAAACAACAGGAGGTCCGGTGGGTGGGTGGAGGAGCAGGGCATGGAGCCAGGTAGGAAGAGAGTGGTGAGCTGTGTTCCCTAAGCTCTGAGCAACTCTGCCCACTCCCACCCCTCACCCCTCACCCCCAGCACCACAGCTCAGTTCTTCTGCAGAAAGAGCAACCGGGGGCATTCAGCCCCGAAGAATGCAGACCTGTGGCCTCAGAATCATAACTTTGCATATGCGATACCTTTTTACTGAGACATAGGGAATGATTCCCTTTTATTCTGAATTTATCAAGATCTTTTAGCACCTTAGCCTAGAGCTCCCATTAATCCTCCCAAAACAGACTGGACTGATGTTGGAGGGTGGAGCGAGAAGGAGACAAAAATCGGAGATTCAGGAGATTAGGGGGCCAGGGGAGTCTTCACCTCTACTCTTTAAAAAAGATCTTTGCATTGCCCTAGACCTTTCTGGTCTCAATTGCCTCATGAAATAATAGATGTGAAGCACTCTGAAAATGTTTCAACACTCTACCTCCTGGGAGTTATGACTGTGGGCAAGCTGAAAGCAAAGCCTCCATGGGGGACTTGCCTGGGGGACCAGTGGTTAAGACTCCATGCTTCCACTGCTGGGGGCACGGGTTTGATCCCTGGTTGGAGAACTAAGATTCCACCAAAAAAGAAAAGAAAAGAAGAGAAAACCTCCTATTTGCACAGCCTGTCCTGTTTACAGAGCACTGGATTGCACACCAGCTTACTCTCTACTATGCTGGGAGGTAGAGGTGGCGGGTGATTTTACCATTTATGGAGAGGAAACTGAGGCTCAGACAGGCTAGATGACTTGCCCAGAATTATACAGCAAGCAGATGGTAAGCTGAGCATGGAAGCCAGGTCTCCTGATTCCTGGTCCATTTCTTTCCACCTAGCCTCTTAATGTTTGAAAGCACACATGGGTTGTTTTGATAGAATCCTATTCTAGAATAACTCAAAATTCATTATTTAATGGCAGAGTGCCAGATCCCACTGTTCTCCACCTGATAGGTCTTGGATTTTTCTATTTAACCCTATTTTTTGAGAGGCAAAACAATGCCCAGTCAAGGGAGTTTTACAGAACGAAAGCCTTCAAAGCACAATACCCCAAGCTACCACAGTGTAACATTGTTGCCCCAAATTGAGGTCTCCCTTCCCAGGGATTCTGGCTCTGCACAGAGCTGGACAGAAGCCGAGGAGTAGTGTGGGGGCAGAGCCTCCCCAGAGGGAAACAGATGGGCAGGCTGGCCCCAGTGCCAGCACTTTGAACAACCCTTTTCTTTTCCAGCCAAACGTCCAATGTCATTCCCCTCTCACCTCCAGCTCCCAGGCAGCCCCCCCCCACCCCCATTCTGTCTTTGGGTGGGCTCTGAGTAGCTGATGAACTCTGGAGGGATGGAGGCTGTTCTTTATGACTGGCAGAAGGATGAAAGGAGGCTTGAAACTGGTGTGGGGCAACTGTTGCCATCTGTCTGGTGGGACGTCACCAGGATGGTCTCGCCCATTCACTCCTTCACGCACCGCTGGGCTCGGGCCTTTTGTTTGGTTGGCTAGGGGTGGGGTTGCTGTAGTGCAGTGAAGAGAGGCGGCGGGTGAGAGAAGCAGCTTCTTTGTGTCTGGACCAAACTTTCAGTGATTCACTAGGGTGATTTGCATGAGGAAGCTGCCTAAGCCCCCAAACACCCAAGTGATTGACAGCCTCCAGCCCTCTCTCCTGGTCACACCCCTCCCCTTCCCCCTTCGGCCAAACAGCTCCCCAGGGTTAGAGGGAGTGGCCCCACTCCTCTGCAGGGATGGGGAGCAGGGAAAGCTGCTCTGTCCCTCTCTGTCCCCCCTCTGTCCCCATCCCTTTCCCAGTTGGAGGTGGGTCTGGTGTCTTCCTCCCTCCCCACCCCCATCGGTCCCTCACAGCGTTTTTCTTTTTGTTTGGTTTCTGCGTACTAGGCTGGCGGGCAGAGGGGCCAAAGCGGGAGGAAAGGCCCATTAACCACCCAGCAGCTGAGCAGGGAAAAAAAGGAGCTGAATTGAGACGTCGGGGTTGGCAGCCCTCCAGCCCAGCTCCTGGTCTTTGAATAACACCCCAGGCCAGGAGCTGGGATCAGTGTGTGGGAGGCTTTGGGGCATTTAATTATTTAAAGGGCTCACTAAAAGGAGCTAAGACCCTGGGGAAGGGGGAGGATAGGCAGATGGTGTGCCCAAGTTGCTGGGAACCTGGGTGCAGGATGGGTGAGGGTGGGGGTGGGGGAGGGAGGGAGGACTGAGCTAGAGGTCAGGGTTCAGGGAGTAAGAGAATGGGGGAGGGGAAGTGAAACAGAGATTGCCCTCTAGACCCAAGCACGCCCTGTGGATAGTCTTTGCCTACACCAGCTGTGAGCAGGCTCTCAGCTCCCTTCTGTACTCCTGCCCACCACTCCCCAACTTTTAAATTCGTATCTGCCCTGAGAGGGAACCATTTTGGAAACACACAACAAAACTGTTAAGTTTAGGGGATTACCCCTTCTCTTCTGGCACTTAGGGATGTTCCAGATTGGTTCAATGGTGACCTGAACTGGGCAGACGGATAGGAGGATTTTCTCTTCCTCCCTCCCTCACTCCCTCCCTTCCTTTCTTTCTTCTTTCTTTCTTTCTTTTCTTTCTTTTCTTTCTTTTCTTTCCTTTCTTTCTTTCTCTTTCTTTCTTTCTTTCTTTCCTTCTTTTCTTTCTTTCTTTCTACTTGTGGTAAAACTTCTGCAACATAAAATTCACCATTTTATCTAGTTTCATTTTATAAGATGAGACCATACACTGAGTCTGTGGAAACACTGAGAAAGCAAATAATTGGAGGTCCTGCTCTTGGGGGCACAGGGTGCTTCAAAAGGCAGTCTGTGCGCCCGAGAGCACAGGGGCCCTAGGTCCCTAGGTAGAAACATACTAGTCAGATTCAATTTGAATTCAGCTCTGCCATGTACTAGCTCTGCGACCACAGGTAAGTTATTTAATTGTTCAATGCCTCAATTTTCTCATCTTTAAAATGAGGATAAAAAATTGCTCCCACTCAGTATTCTTGAGGGGATTAATATAGGTGAAGCACTTAGAAGAGTGTCTGGCTCTTTGTCAGGACACAACAAATGTTATTAAATATTATTGTCATTACCATTACCAGATCAGGAGGCATTTATATAGGCTACACAATGAAAACTGAGAGAAACAGGGAATTTGGGAATTGGGTACAAGGCCAAAGGGGAATTTGGTAAGGGTGTAGATTTGCCTCCATCCTCTCTCCCATTTGTAATGAGCTACGGTTGGAAATGTGGTCTTTGCTGTTCCAAAAATAGTAGTCCTGTTCGGGTAGCCCCCCTTTCCCACCTGCATCCCTCTTCCACCCTCACCAGGGCGAGCGAACAGCTCCAGGACCTGGGGCTCTGAAACCCTCTGGTCCAGACCCTTGCTTTGTGGCAGTTTAGGCATTACTATTTTACTGATGGGATGACCAATTCAAAGGGGTTAAGGGACTTGAGATTTGATTCTTCTGCTTCTTGGGGCTTTCCCTACTCTAGCCCCGCCCAGGCCACAAGGTCATGTGGAATGAACTGGTCACTTGGTCACTGTGGGGCACACAGTTCAATACAGCATCTCAGCCTGTCTTCACTTCTCAGTCTGGCCGGCCTCAAACGTGTGAGGTGGGCTTGTTTTCTGCACCTTCCAGCGAGGCAGTTCTCCCGTCCTCAACACGCCTGGGGGGCAACGGCGACGGCTTTCAGTCGGGGACAGCCGAGGATGATCCCGCGCGGGCCGCCCGCACTCAGACGTGCACCGCAAGGGTGGTGCTACGGGGAGGCTGGGGGCGTGAGGGCAGGCAGGTGTTTGGCTCCCTCCCTCCCGGATGTGGGCAGAGGGAGGAGCCCCCGGCCAATCATCCACGTCCCTCAGTCCCTACGGAGAAGCTGTCTGGGACCTTGAAACGCGACCAAACGCGCTAGCTAGTTCGTTTTCCTAGTTTGGCAACTGGGTGGTGCCGCAGCCTCCGCCCCCTCTGGGAAGCCCCCACCTTGGTAACAAGCTGCTGATTGGCTGGCCGTGGGGCACAGCGGACCAGTCAAAGCTCTCCTTGATGTCGAGGTTTGGCAGAGAGGAGTTAAAAATGTGGGGGGGCGGGGGGGAGGCGGGACACTACGCGTTTTCGGAGTGGAGGTGCTACGCGGGTAGGTAGCGGAGAATCGGGCCTTTCACCAGGAAAGGGCAGGCGGGGGAGGGGCCGAGAAGTGGCGGCCTCTGTGACGGGACCCCTTCCCTCCCGCCACCTGCTGCTAGAGCGTCTCGGGTCCCTAAAGCTTAGGTCTTACCTCCATTTCTCAGGCCTTCCTCACAGCCTGACCGACTGCAGGGCTGGTGCAGCCTTTCTTGAGCAATTTTGGAGGTTCCGGGTTTCTGAAACCTCCTCGGTCCTCTCTCCAAAGTCCCTCTGTATTTGGGCGTTTATTTTCCCAAGTTTGTTACTCGGGCCCTCTTCGTTTTCTTTTTGTACATCTGTGTGTGCTCACGCCCTCCTAGGGCCGTGTTACCAGTCACCCATCCTCTAAAACCAACTTAATCATCCGCTTTATTACACTGTACCTATTGGCACCAACCTCCTAGACTTAGTACAGTATACATTTCTGAGGACATACATTGTAAGCTTTGTAAGAGAAAGCATTTTGAATAACTTTGTTCCCCCACCTCAATGCACACAAACATATACACATACATATTCAAAGAACCTAGCACAGTAGCATCAAGATTAAGACTCTAGAGACCGTGACAGGGTACAATTCCAGCTCTGCCACTGCTACTGGCTGTGTGACCTTGAGCAGATACTTCACCTCTCTGAACCTCAGTTTTTACCAATGAAAAATGCTAATGATAATAGCACCTACCTCCTAGCATTATTATGACAAAATGCCTGACACATAATGCCTAATAAATGATATTATTTTAGATATTAATAAAGAAGGAATGAGTATTACTTCCCCACAGTTAATCTCAGCCCCCCATTCTTGGTTTAGGTGCTAGGGATAACAACTAGATTCTAGGGACATTTAAAATTACTATCAGTAAAACAATTTAGGACTCAGAATAAAACTTAGCACAGTCTCACAGCTCCCAGCCTTCACATGGGTCCTGTTTTAGCTCATAGATTTTACGAAGGGAGAGATCTTTTGGCAAGATAGGATTCGTTTTTCCTCAAGGACTTTTCTTAACAAGGTTTTTTTTTTTGGCCGTATTCAGCCTGAGGGATTCCCCAACCAGGAATCAAACCTGTGCCCCTGCAGTGGAAGCTCAGAGTCAAGGACTTTTCTTCAAATTCCTCCCTCTCAAAAATTTTAGAACAGCAGTGTCTGAGGATTTACAGTAATCCCATTTTTAACAGGATTTAACAGTCTTTTTTTTTCACGGACTCATGGAGTGCCTTACCTGACCTCTACATATACTTACATTAACACCAAGGTGTGATTGTTAAGTTTTTCCCAAAACTCTCCACTGAAGTCCTTTCTTGTTGCTCAGAGACTCATCTTTTCTGCAGTCTCTGCCTCTCCCCTGAATGCTACACACTGGTCCATAGATTTTCTTCAGTGAACACACAGGCTGGCAGTTCAGTGCTCCCAGACCCCTAGTGGTCATCCTGCCATGTTCTATCACCTGCTGTACCCTGTTGATGTCAGAAGTGGCCTTTGTTGATGTTTTGCATTATTAAGAACAAAAGCAATGATGTGTCTGGGGCACCTCAGTGGTGCCAGATGCCGGGGACAGGGAGGATGCAAGGGGCACCCAGCACTGGGGTGTATTTCAGTGGGAAGCCAGCAGACCTGGGTTTCAGTGTTGAGTATATGCCATTAGGGACAAGTCAATAAAAAGTGTTAGGTCTCAATTACCCTATCTGTAAAGTGGGTGAATCAGACCTGGCTCCTTACTTTATAGATATTTTGGGAAAATAACTGGGGTCATACTGTTGAAAGCACTTCATATGTTTTTGGAAATTAGAAGGGGTGTGTTTGTGTGGGTGTGGGTGTGGGTGTGTGCAACAGGCTATTAAATTCATTTTATGCTACTATTTCCATTTGGCTCCCAGAAATATGATCCAACAGTTGTTATTAAAAACTTATGAACCCAGCTTTGTGCTAACTGTTGTGAGGTATATGGAGGGATCATATGACACGCTCTCTACCTTTAAAGAATTTACAGTCTAACCAGGTTGCTCAACTAACACATGAAATGATGTGTCGTATTGACTGTGGATCCCCCACATATCCTCTTCTGACTTACAAGTAAAGGATGATCTGGTGGTGTGACAATGGAGCCAATAGGTGGACGTGCCTTACTGCAGCTAGCACAGCTGCTTGCCTCTTACCTCTCTCTTTCTATCCTTGGTGGGGTGTGGGGTCTTACAGACCATCCTCACTGCTGCCTTCGCCAATGCTCATGAGTCATGGCCTGGTGCCTTGTGACCTGAGGTTGGGGAGATGCTCACCTTTGATGCTGCCCTTCACTTACTGTTCATGTAGTTACCTGTTGCTGATGCTTTCTCATCTGCACCTGCCCACTGCCACTGCTTACAAACGCCATCACAGCCATTGTAGCTACAGCAGCTCCTTTGGGGTGGGCTTTGGGTGGGACACTGAGGATGCTGTTATTCCCAGCCCCCTGTACCCGGCAAGAGAGACCACCTCCCTACCCCTTCTAATCTCTGTATTTGCTCCCATGGCCAGGTAGACTAGAAAAGATGCAAGTTGCTCACACTTCCCCACAGCACAGAGGGCTGTGTCCCATTTGGGGCTCCCCCCAGCCTTCTTGGTGGAGGGAGCTAGTCTGGGATGGGGTTGAGGACCAGTTCTGCTGCGGCATGCTCAGCAGGCAGATTCCAGCTCCAGGTTCTCTGTGCTGGGCCAGCAGATTTAGCTCCTTTCCTTTTTGGAGACTGTCAACAAAGGCTCAGCATAGCTTCTAAGAAGGAATAGATCAGTGTAATTGCTATCATCTTTGAAAAGAAAAAGATGGGCATGCAAATTAAAATAAATATCAATACCAAGTCTCATCCATCAGACTGTCCAAATTACTAAAGTCTGAAGCAGTATTTGGCGTCATGGGGATGTGGGGAAATGGAGGCTCAGGTACAACTGGTGTGAGTGCACATTCGTACAACCCCTTTGGAGAGCAGTTTGACAGAATCTAGTAGAGGTAAATTGTTCATATTTCACGACTTAGCAGTTCCCTCCTGGGCATAAATACCAGTAGTTTTTAACTGGTGGTGGTTTTGACCCCCCAGGGAACATTTGGCAAATTTGGAGATATTTTTGAGTTGGACTGGGGAGGGGACAGATGCTAATGGCATCTCGTGGATAGAGGCCAGTGATGCTGCTAAACATCCTACAGGCAGTCCACTCTGTCCCCCCTCCCCTTGCCCCACAAAGAATTATCCAGAGCCAAAGGCCAGTAGCGCACTGTTAAGAAATCCTGATGTAAACGCTAGAGAGACTCTCAAATGCAATCTCAAAGAGACAGATAAAAGGATGTTCACTGCATCATTTGTTTCTAACATTACAGTATTGAAAATAATCTAAATGTCCCTCAAAAGGAGAATAGAGAAATAAATTTAGGTGTTTTCAGACAATGGTTAGAATGAATGAACTGGAACCACAAGAATCAATATGGATAAATCTTGAACACACAGTGTTCACTGAAAGAAGCAGAGTAATACAGAAAGTGCTACTCTGTAAAGTTTAAAGACACAAACAACTCTCTACTTCCCCTGTGGATGTAATGCAAGTTAGTTATTTTTGTCTCCACCAAATTCCACAGCAAGTACCTGGAGACCTTTACATTCATTCTTTCATACACTAAATGCACCAACTATTGACATTATCTGGCTCAGGATTTTGCATACAGAAAAAATTTGTTGAATGATTGAGCTGTGCTCATAGAGAGACAAGACCATGATTTGCCTTCTCTTCTTGCCTTTCCTCTATGATCTGCCTTTCTGCCTGTCTTTTCATGGCTTAATTTAGGGAGCGTCCCAGAACTTGGATGAGAAAACACTGAATCTTCATTTTTCACACTGCTAAGTGAAATTTAGCATTCCCTTCAATTATGAAGGTAACAAGTCGCTGCAATATTAGCAGCCTGAAGCTTTGTCACCAACTGAAATTACAGATATTTTCATATCACATTACAGTTATTGAAAATACATACATTCATGCTCATTAGCACTTCGAAATGACTGTAGTTATTTAGACTTGTTGCTGGATCTCATTATTTATGACGTTAATAAATATTTATATATATATGATCTAAAATATTTATACATTTTGATAACTGTACTTCATTGGTTTCCTTTGGAATCCAATGGATTTTATTTTATACCTTCAAAAACATTTCGAGAAGAGGTCCATAGGCTTTGGCAGGCTGCCAGAGGGGTCCACAAATGTCAAGACTCCCTGGTTACACCATACCTTCTGTTGCTTTGATTATTGGTTAAGTGTCCATTGGGGCTCGGTACTGATCAGAGCCGAATGGGAGAAAGTGGGCATGGATTGCCACCTTTAAAAGTTTCAGAAAAGGCTCTGATGGTGCGAAGTGAGATCTGCCCGCTAGTTGCTGGAAGACAGAACTGTGAGATTGAGCCGGGGCTTTGGAATGTTGGTAAAGTTTTTTGGTACTTGTGTCTGAAATAAGAGAATAAAGGCAGTAGTTGGTTTTACCCCTGCCTACAGCTCCAGCCTCGTTGCTCCTTGCCACTGTGCCCCCAGCCATTTTTGCTGTCTTTCAGTGTCCAGGAAGCTTCCTCCTGCATTAGGAGGTCTATACATGCTGTTATCTCTGCTGGACTCTCCTCCCATCTCTTCATCTAGGTAAGTACACTCTCCCTCCATATCTGATTATCTGCCCCTGTTCCTCCAGACTAGGTCAGGCTCCTTGATAATCCTCATGTAGACCCATCCTCATCTCCTTCACAGCCCTTTCTCAGTTTGTAACTATGTGGTCCTTGGGGTGACTCTTTAGTTCACTGCTTGTCACTGCACCAGATTATAAATCCCCCAATGGCAAGGAAGGCTTGCCGTTATTGTCTGCAGTATCCCCAGTGCCTGACCAAGGGCTTGTGGTAAATATTTATTGATGAAGAGTGAATTTTAATTGGAAAATTCATAAAGGGACTGTGAATGCTAGCAGAATGAATTTAGGTCCACCAAAAATAAAGTCGGATGGCCTCCCCCCCGTTGTGAGACCCCATCTACCACCAAGCAGCCCCCACACTCCTAGCAGTTCTGCATACACCAGTAACACAGAGATCTTCAGGCTAGCACAGTAGAAACAGTATAGCAAAACTGGCAGGCTGGGGAGAGAGATGGCCTGGGGTCAGATCCTGGCCTCGATGCTTTCTTCCTGGGTGACCTCAGCCTCTTTGTGCCTCAGTCTCTCCATCTATATAAAATAGTGAAAATAATAGTACCAATGGCATAGAATGTTTAGGAATGCTAATGAAGCCACATAAATAAAACACCTAACACATAAGTACTGATCAAACGGTAGCTTAAAGGAAAAGAGACAACTTTTATCCATCAGAGCCTGATGGATAATCCACCCCTGCTACCCTCTTGAGAAGCACTGGATTTAGAAACAGAATTTCACAGAATATATTAGTGAATATCTTCAGTAAATAATATATTCAGCTCAGTAAATATCAGTTGTGGTTATTTCTCTATTAGAAAATAGTGAATTGTCCTAAAAGCACAAGCCTAGCTCTTAAAGGCTTTCAAGAAACGTGCATTGAGGGCTTCCCTGGTGGCGCAGTGGTTGAGAGTCTGCCTGCTAATGCAGGGGACACGGGTTCGAGCCCTGGTCTGGGAAGATCCCACATGCCGTGGAGCAACTGGGCCCGTGAGCCACAAATACTGAGCCTGTGCGTCTGGAGCCTGTGCTCCGCAACAAGAGAGGCCGGGATAGTGAGAGGCCCGCGCACCGCGATGAAGAGTGGCCCCTGCTTGCCACAACTAGAGAAAGCCCTCGCACAGAAACGAAGACCCAACACAGCAAAAATTAATTAATTAATTAATTAACTCCTACCCCCAACATCTTCTTTAAAAAAAGAAAAAAGAAATGTGCATTGAGAAGTTGAATGAAAGAGCAGATGGGCTACTTGAATGCTTATTTTCCTCTTCCAGGCCCAACTTGGCTTTGCAGTACTTGACTGCCCTCAGTTCTACATAGTTGCCACTAGAGGGCAGGCGCGGTTAAGACAACAATACTCTGGACCCACCAGCGCCATGATTACTGGGTAAACAAGGGAGGATGGTTGAAGGAGAAAAATGATAGAATGATTGAAAAAAATAATTTTTTTCTTTATCTCTTGGGGACCAAATGGAAGGAAATATGGAGCTAGTGAGATTAAAGTTAGACTTAAAGAAGAACTTCCAGAGCACAGAGTTTGCTAACTAGAGATTTTATACAGGTGACTTTTTAAAAACCTCTTAGCTATATCTACCCAAGCAGAATAGATGAGAAAGTGGGCTCCTCCAGTCTGAGGCTTATGCGACCCCCCCCCCTTAAAGTAACCCTTCTGTGTCTGCCTTAATTGACTCCATTCTTGCAGATGCAATTGTAAAATAACTTTATTGGTTGGGTTAGCCACCACTCATGCTTTTCCTGTGATAAGGATCCTTTATAGAGGCATGATGGTGTTCACATGCAGATACTTTCTGAAGAGCCCTGGGGCAAGGGGCAGCCTTGCCCCTCACCTCAGAGCTCCTTTGTTGAAATGAGCTGGTTTGGCTTTTGTGGATTTCAAGGTCTGGAGCCAAGAAGCAGTCCAAGTATTCCCCCCTTCCCTTTTCAGGAAAATGGCTTCAAAGCATACACTGTATCAGGGACACAGTGGCATCTGGGCAAGGAGCAGATTAGGGCTAGCTGTCCTCAAGCAGTCCCTGGCCATGGCTGCCTGGATGGCTCCATCCCAATGGTACCCCAAAGAGCAGGAGGGTTAGGTCCCCAGACAACACTCCTTTCAGAAATGGGAAGAACTAATTGCTCTCCACCCAAGCTGTAAAGCAACAGCCATCTTAAGTAATGAGAGTGTAGCTCAGAGATGTGAAAGCAGAGGGTTTTGTGCTCAGTACAGGCAAGATTTGGCTGCCTGGCCTGGGCTTCACTGACCCAATGAGCGTCTCCAGCCAGAGCTGGTACTATTAACTGTGGCCTTAGGAGAAAACAGTTAATACCACAGCCTCCTCCTTTGGCAAATCCTGGGCTGGTTGGAGTCTGTCTCTCCCATCAGGATATAGACCTTTCTGCTTGCATAAGAGGAGAGGACAAATTACCTCTCTCATGCTTTGAGAACCGCATGGACTCTGCCTTTGAAGATAAAGACCCAAGTAGGGAGCTGCTGGGAATGCAGAGAGTGCTGGCTAAGCATGAAACTACTGCAGCTGCTTCCTCAATTCAGCCAATTCGAGGTGTGTTTGCCTCCATTATGGATGCTGACGATAAGCAGAATCTGGCCTGTCCTCTTTTTTTTTTTTTTTTTCAGTCAAGCCCAAACTAGTCTCCAGCTGAGTCCATGGCCTTTCCTCTTTTGAAGTCTGATCCACCTTCAAAGAATTGCTTAGCTGCTAAAATATAGCCCTATACATTTAGCTAAGCCTGAGGTTGCTTTTCTCCTCCCACATCAAGCCAAGAACATGGTCATCATACTGGTGACCTCTGGTGTAGAGGTGACTCTTGGTGTCCTTCCAACCTCAGACGCGAGTGTGAGTTCTCTGCACAGGCACCGGGCAGATGAGCACATGCCTTGGGGTCTCCTGCCTCTGCCCAAGGCAGAGAAGACGTGTCTGTGGGGCCATGTTGAGTGGATGAGGTGGACTTAGGAGGAGGCAGTTGGCCAAAGAGGTATATACTGAGAAGCAGCGAGTGGGAGCCCAGAGTAACTGCACAACTAGCCCAGTACATGGCAGAGCTGTCAAGCGCTGCTCACAGACAGAATCAGTGATTGTTTAAAAAGTAAGGTTATGTACTATTGCTCAAGCAAATTTTAGGGTTCACGGCACCAGATCGTTGTGAAGAACGGGTAATGAGATTTCTGGGGTTGGGACTTCAGGGACAGAAGTCCCTGAAGAAGTCTGCCACCACTTCTGTCCTGGAAAGGAGAGTTTCATGTCCCTCAGAAGAAGGCTGCCTGTCCCCTGATTCCACCTGAACTTGCCTACAGGGTAGAAAACTGTAGAGGGAGCCCATGGACTTCTGTCACATGATCTGTCCCAGACCTTCCAGCAAAAGCCAAACCAAACCATCAAGCCAAATGCAGAGGGGCACGGGGGCTCTGGCCCCGCACCCAGTGCGTGGGCCACTCAGATCTCGATGAGGCTGGCGACGCGCAGGCAGAGGGGTGCGTCGGGCGGCATGGCGCTGCGCTTGATCTCGTTCCCGTCCAGGCGCAGCACCTGCAGCTTGGAGAAATTCATGACGTCCACCACGGTGCAGAAGCTGCTGATGGAGAACTCTGTGGGAACAAGAGGGGTGGGGGTGGGTCGGAGAAGCCCAGATCAGGGACCTGGGTCCGCAGTGAGGCCAGACCTCCTCTGTGAAGCTTCTAATGTGAGAGGTGGAACTCGGCTGGGTGGGGCAGGCACTTTCCAGGATCGGAGTCATACTTGCACCAATTAGTGGGCAGAACCAGAGACAGAGTGGGGTCTCTGCCTGCATAGCTCCACCTCATACCCATCCCTCTCTGTAGACCCTGGAATGTCCTTCCAGCCAGGCCTTGATCTTTTCCCATCTTTAGGCAGCAGGTGGCAGCAGAAGGCAGTCAAAGACGAACCCTAGCAGCTTTGATTGCTTTTGGAGAGGAGGGTGTTTCTGAATTGCTTTAAGAAGGAAGACTGGGGAAATGCAGGGACTTAAATCTGGACTATTTCCTAACACTTTGCAGATAGAGCAAGTGGCAGAAAATTAAAGAGAGAAAATCTAGACTGAGAGACAAGTGTCTCTGAATGCAGAGCTTTGAGGGCGTTGTCCGTGTACATTCTGAGTAAGGCCAAAGGAGTGAGCAAGGCCCTGAGGTCTAAGGAGATGGAAACTGATAGATAAACAGGGCTGCTATGGAGCTCAAAAGTCCAATAAATAACTCTCTTGCATCCCACATTTAATATGATACGGTTTACCCTCCTTTTTTGTAATCTCAAAAGAAGTACCCTTTTTTGAAGATTTTCCCTCAAAACCATGCAGTCCTAATTGATACAGATGTTCTGTTTGATTTAAATACAAATCCTTCTGCTACTATTCACCTTGTTCTCCCTCTGGTTGTCCTCTTGGACAGATCAGCCACCTCTGTCTCTGGCCTGCTGGGTCAGGAACTTGAAGGATAAAAACCAAGAACTCAGCTAAAACTCCAGCAAGGACAGCCAGAGTCACCACTGAGAAGCTGCTGAAGCCCCTAGAGGCTGCCTTCAACACGGTGTGTGAGAGCGTCAGGAAGGTGGCTCATGTCAAAGGGGCTTTGGGTGAGGTTACCTGTCGGGTCTCCGTAGGCTGTAACACTTAGGCAGACCCAGAGCTGGGCTTGCTTTTGCCTCAACCAGAGGCATTCCTCTGCTTGCCACAGTGGTCAGGAGCTGTGTGTCAGCTTGGAGCAGGGCAGGAGGAATGGGAGGAAGGCTTTCCTAACTCTCTTCCTAGAGGTGACCTTCGAGGGCATTGTGGATGGAGAGATTATGGGTATGAATGTGAAGGTTGCAAGGAAGACAGTATGGAGAGCTTAGATAGATGAAGAAATTGTTTTTTAAATTAGCACTAGCAATTCTTTTCAGTCTCTGTCAAGACTGACAGAGAGGAGATGGGCTGAGGCTGCAGCCAGTTAACTTGTACTGCAAATGTAAGATAGAAAACCCAGCCCCAAAGAATAATGAGAAAAGGAAATACCCTTCTTTGGAGAGCACTCGGTGCGGGGTGGGGGTGGAGACCTGGAATGCTTTTGGATGTTTCCTTTCTGGTCCCAGGGAATAGATCAAGTGGCCTCCAGGTGGACAGGTTGGGGGCAGAGCCAAGGCCAGGGGCCAGGTCTATGGTGTCTGTGTGGAACAGGTGAAGTGAGTTGGGCTGGGGAGAAGTAAAGTGGCCCAGCTTAAATATCACCTCCAACCCTGTCGGCAGACTGCACTTAGAGGTTCCACCATAGATTCTCTACACCATCCTGGGGCCTTCAGACTGCCTGCTAAAGTCCTGGATCCCAACTGTTGAGCACTGAGGGGCTGCTCAGCACATAGCATGTGTAGATTCTATCCACAGGTTGAGCACCGTGAGCCCCCTGTTTATCTTCCCTAAGCTCATGAATAGGACAGGGGCTTCTGCTTGGAGACTCCGGAGGACACTTTCCATCCCGGATTAAATTCTGACAAAAGTCTTTCCAAATTCCTCCTGGTACACCCGCCCTGCCCCCTGGATCTCAGAGCTGCTGAATAACATTCTGAGCTGTGTTTCCTGCTCTTGCCAGGCTGGAAAAACTGAGGGAGATGCTAATGGAAGAAGGAAGGGGGAGGGAGAGGGCCGGGCCTAATTCCACTGCACACCCTTCAGCTCCTGTCCTTTTAGCTCCCCTCTCAGAGGGTTGTTTCAATATCCCACCTTCACCACCCACCCCTGCTCTGGGTCCCTGACCAGCTGTGCAGGGAGACCTCCTTCACATTGGCCCAGGCGAGGGCCTGAGCCTGGAGAACTGTCTTTCCTGCTGTTGGTCTGAATCAGAGAGATACTCCTTCCATTCTCAGCTAGAGAAGCCTGACTTTCAGTCCTTTGCTGTTGATGGTAGAGGCTATGCTACAAGATCTGGGTGACCTAAAGAGATTGCCTTTCCTTCTCTGTGTCTCAGTTTCCCCATCTTTGCGATGAAAAAAATAAAACAGAACAAAACTGTACCTGGCAATTTCAAAGTGGCAATAGAAGAAAAGCTTATAATATAGTTACTGTGTATTGCTTTTTCAATGATGTGCCAGGCGAACCAAGCACTTTACATGTATTCATCCACTAATTAAGTAAAATAAGGAGTTGGTGTTATTTTGCCAAAAGAAGACTAAAAGGGAGATATCCAGACAAAGGGGCTTTGGCTTAAATTGCACAAGAAGGGATTTGGGGTAGGCACTGGACATTTTTAGGTTTGACTTAAGGGAGAAATTTCTTGCAAGACCTTGAGACACTCGACTAAAGTGATTTTATCTTGAGCAGAGCTTTTGGAAGGGGTGAACCACCTTGTATTTGAGCGGCAGATGTGGTTCTGCAAGAAGACAGGGTGACAAGATGCTGCAATGGAGACTTCCCCACCCCAAGTTTCACTGATTGTACAGTCAGGCAATAACTAACGGCTTCTCTCCCATGACAGCTGCTCTTTGCTGTCACATTTTCAGGGTCAAACTCTGATAAAGCACTGTATACAATATGACGTTTCTGTTGTGACGATCCTCCTGTATTTAGAATGGGTGGCAGATAAGTAGTGGTGACTTCTGGGTGGGATGATGAACAGCTACAAGCAAATGTCAAACCCTTTGCAGCATGCAACATCTTGGAGACCAGAGAACCCTGCCTTGGGAATAGGAAGACCCGCACCCCCACCCCCCCACCCCCCCACCCCCCAAAGAAAGAGAGACTTTAAATACAAAACAGTTTGCCCTATACATGATGGTGTCTTGCACTTCCAACTAGAGAACCAGGGACCTCTTCACCTTGCCCACCTCACAGTCAACCTCTGGGACTGGTGCCTCTCTCACTCAGAGGGCTGTCTAGCTCGTTAACATCTTGCCAAACGACTGATCTGTTCCCTGAGCACAGGGAGAGAAAGTATTGATGGGAGAGGTTGTAGACTCAGTCCCTATCCATGCTTTGATGGTGCTGTTTGCTCTCAGCAGGCTCTACTTCAGAGCCCTTTGCCAATGGTCATTAATGAGTCCTTCATTCCCCAGGGAGAGGGGTACTTTGCTGCAGAGGAAGAGAGGTTAAAATCTGGCTCTGTACCTTCCAGCTGGATTAAGATATCAGAGGCCCTGGGGTAATGTAAGCACATTGTGAACACAAGATCCTGAGAGGGAGCTGAAAATCAACTAGATAATCCAATCTGAAATGAAGATTTTAGTTCTTGGACACAGAGAGGCAGCACTTTAGGCCTTTTCTGGGAAGAGCTTGGAAAACAAGAAGCCCTTGTCCTTGTCCACCACCCCAGGGTTTGGCGGTGGTCAGGCTCATGTTACCCTAGGGGGCCTCTGCCCTGCCACCAGGGGCTCCTTGTACTCCAGGGAGAACCAGCCAGAGCAAGTGCCGCATTCAGCTCTGAGAGGCTACAAATTCTTGTCCACCAGTTGTTATGTTTAAAAAGCAAATAAACATCCAGACACAAGACCAGGCTGTCGAGGCATGAGTAGATCAGGTGGAAACAGAGAGCTCATCCTCTTCCGGGTCAGTGAGAAAGTGCAGATACCACGGTTTCTTAACAGCACACTTTCCTCCTGAGACGGACCGTAGAAGTTCAACTTAAACCCCCCTGTCTATGAACTGCCACCTCCCCAACCTCTCCCAACGCCTCTCTCACTGCTTAACACATGACACAGGAATTTCCTGGCTGCCCCCTCCAGGTGGCCTGTTAAATGACTGGTCCCTTTGTTTGTGGCAATTGCATTTCTCAGAAGGGCCCAGTCCTGTGTTCCTCCAGCCCATGCCCGCTTATCTCTCAAGACCTAGATTGAGACTTACCTCTTCTGGGAAGTCTTCTTCCGTACCAACCCACTCTCCCACTGACTTTTCCTAGCACTGCTGTGTAGTATAAGAGTATGCCACTATGTACCATTTTGTACAGGGATATGGCAGGGTTTTCAGCTTACTTCATTGGTACTCTTTGGTTCCCCTATTTCTATTTCTTCTGTATTGCCCCCAGCACTCAGAATTGGGTCTTTCCAATGCAGCAGACAGCCCTCCCCACTCCCCTTTGCCAAAGTCTCACCATTGATCCTATTGCCTTGGAGGTAAAGGTTCTCCAGGTTGGTGTTCACTGGGGGGATCTTCTGCAGCTGGTTGTAGGAGAGATCGAGCTCAAGGAGGCTGCTGGAATTGAAGGTGTTAGAGGCCAGGCCACTGTTGGTGAGACTGTTGTGGGACAGCCGCACATACAGCAGCTTGGGCGACCCCCGGAAGTAGCTGTCGGGGACCGAGTAGACATTGTTGTGCTCTAGGTACAGCTGCTCAAGGGCTGAGGGCAGTCCATCAGGCACCTTCCGAAGGTGGTTGTAACTCAGGTCCAGCAAGATCAGTGACCGGAGGCCTTTCACCGAACTGCCCACTTCCTGGATCTCGTTGTGTTGGAGGTACAAGGCCGTGAGGTTCTCCAACCCCTCCAGCGCGTTGTTGGGGACCCTCGAGATCTGGTTGTGCTCGAGATGGAGCTCCCTCAGGGATCGAGGCAGTGGGCCAGGCATCCGGGTCAGGTTGTTGTGGTCCATGTACAGCCTCTCCAGGTGCCTCAGCTTGGAGAAGACCTTCTTGCCCACCTTATCACTGGTGATCTGGTTGCCATGGAGAGCAATCCAGAGCAGCCCAGTGGCGTTGTCGAAAACGCCCTCCTGGATGGAAGAGATCTGATTGTTCTGGAAGTAGACGTATTTCATGCGGGAGGGGACGAAGGGTAGGTACTTGAGGTTGCGGTTGTCACAGTACATGGCTGTGGGGAAGTTGGGGGGGCAGTCGCACTCCTGGGGGCAGTCGCGGGGCTCTGGTGGGGGTGGAGAGCCGTAGGCATAGGCTGGACCTTCCTCTCCCCCATAGGGGTAAGGATCATAGGGCTCATAAGGGTAAGGGTCATAGGGGTCGTAGTAGGTGGACTGCTGGTTGCTGCGGAGGTAGTGGAACCACCAGTGGGAGTCTTCCTCATATTGGGCCCGGGAAAGGGAGCAGAGCCCTGCCAGCAGCAGGAGGGAAGCCCACTGCATGTTGTCTCTCTGCAAGAAGGGAGAGAGAACAGAGTAAGCAGGCGTGAGTGAGACTCTAGGGAGGCAGGGAGGCAGAGCAGGTGAGCCTTAGTCTTTGAGCTACGCAGACCTGACTTCAGCAGCAAACAGCTGTGAGCAGTAGCCTTGCTCTCACTTCCTCTGGGCCTCCTCCCAGTGCCGCCCCTGCACACTTGGTCCAGCAGAAACGTGGCTGTCTGCGGGGAGCTAGGTGCATTTTCCTCTGGTCATAGAGTTGCAGAAACATAGCCTTTGAGATTAAAAGGAGCTTGAATGGAGGTGCTGCATTTTTTTTGGAGGGCAGGCCCATAGGAACCTCTAGCAACCTGAAGGTACTGTTGGGGGAGCTAGAAAGGCCACAGCAATTCCCATGGGAGTGGTAGTGGTGGTGGGTGCTCTTTAGGCCTGAATTCACATCCAGTTTGGACTCCCCAGGACATAATGTTTCCCAAGAGTCCAAGGAAAAAGCCCTCTGGCTCTTTCCATATATCTGGGAAACAGCCAGAAGTGGCTTGAGATCTCAAAGGGGAAGATCTGAACTACTTGGGAAGGCAGAGGGTTTCTGTTTTGAGTCTGTGGGGAGTGCTGTGGTCCCCCTGCAGCCACCACAAGGCCTGGGCTCGTGGTACCAGCACCTGTAACAGTCTGCTGGGGAGGAAACTCTCTGGTTGGCAGTCTGTGGCTACACATGCAACTTGGCCGGCACAGGGTCTTCATGTAACAGTTACAGATTCCCTCCAGACTGGGCCCACTGCCACCCAGGTGTGGCACTTGTCTTCTAGAGTGGGTACTGAGTGCATGCAAGTCTTCCTGCACTGTCCAGTAAAGTGTTACTACTTCTCCCGCTCCACCATGGACATTATGCAAGAGCCAAATGGGACCAAGAGAATGAACGAGGAACATCAAACAATGGAACAGGAATTGAAGCCTCTTGAGTATGCCCAAGGGAACATGCCTTTAGAATGGGATTCTGGCATCCTTCTCTCCCATCCCAAGCCACCTCTGGATTACCAGTCTCCATATCTAGGCCCCCACATTTCCTGGCAACCCATTGCCTTCGAGCTTGTTATGCTAGCGAGATGAGAGCAGGGTAGGTTTAGAGAGAAGTGTGGGTTTGGTGTCACCTGAGAGGGAAGCTGAAGGAGTGGAAGATGAGGGGTCATGGGGTGGCATATCAGGCTGGATGTCTTACTCTGAATACCTATAGCCAAAGCACTGCATAACCCCTGTGAGCAATGGGTCCCTTCCAGAGGGGTGATTGTCACCCTTGGACAGAAGACCTTAGAACCTTTCTTGGTCTGGGAATAGGCACGTATACCATTCACATTGCTATTGGCCCTTGGCTGGGGTTGGCACCCGTGGACAGGAGAAAGAAAGGAGTCTAAAAGCCAGCATCAAATCCAATGAACCGATGAGAGGGACCCTAATAGTGACAATCTAGTCACCTTCTGGCCACCGTCTCTGTCAGACCTCTCTGTCCCCTGAAAGCAATTCCCTTAGGCCCACTTTATTCCATTAGCCTCTGGGTTGCAGAGGCGAGGCCCCTGGGTCGCAGAGGCGAGGCCCCGGGCTCATCCTCAGGCAGCCTCAGACAAAGAGCCCACAGTGTTTCTGAGGGGCCAACCCAGCCACCCACGGCCTGGGCATGCTGGCTGGGCCTTGGCACTGGCCAGGGGAAGACGGACGGAATGGCCCATTACCAGTAGCACATTTTTCCATGCTCAGCTCTGGGCTGCTGCAGGATCACAGTGGCTGTCTGGAGGCTGGCACAGTGAGCCTCTGTCTCCATTTCTCCTTCCAGACTAGGCACCGTGGCAGACAAGAGCCAACTTCCTCTTCGAGACCCAGCCTTCCAGGGCTGTGCATCCTGCCCACTTGAGTCTCCTTTGGAGTCATGACGGCTAAAAGGGTTTGGTGGTACCTTATTCCTCTCTTTACCCTACCCCCATCTCTTAGCAATGTTGCTCCAGGGTTTATACTCTTAAATCCTCACCCACCCCACCCCCAATGATAGAGACCCTCCTGTGCTCAGAGCTTTGTAAGGTGGAGAGTTTCTAGGACTGGCACTCTCTGAGTTGGGGGGAGCTTACTCAGGAGTTACTGCCGTTCTTTCATTTCTCCATTCTAGAGAACCATTTCTCCCTTCTGTCAGAGTCCAGGAGGTCAAGCCAGAGCTATTCCCTAACCTGAATTGGATCCCCATTTCACAGCTCCTTGGACCTGGTCAAGTCTCAATATTTCTGTGTATTCTTTCCCTTTCACCCCAGCAACACACAAGCACGCGTGTGCATGCACACGTACGCACACACACACTACACAAAACTCCCTCTCCGCTCTCATAACAGAATTTAGTTACCACAACCCTTCTGAAGAGAGACTGCAGGGACACAGGGCTAGGATGGTGGGCTTTCTGAGCAGTAGTGGGGCAGAGCTGGCTATGCTAGATACCTGGCCCTTCACTTTTTCATGCCTGAGAATTGGATGTCCCCCAACAACAGAAAGAAACTGTAGGACAAAGGTAGCATGTTGGAAACCCTTCCTTCTACTCCCCTTTCCCGGCTCCAGCATCCTGGGACACAGCCCAGATGGGAGAAGGACGAATGACTCCTTCCGCCCGGCCCTTGCCCTGCTCCCCAGCCTCTTTGCTGTTGTCCCTTTGTGGAACTACCAGGGACAAAACCTGAAGTAAAATGACTGACTTACCTCGAGTTGAACCTTTCAGAGAATGACCACGTCTCTCTGTCTGGCCTCCTTGGTTGGAGAGCGTGTGAGAGGGAGAGGAGTGAGGGTGTCTACTGAGAGTGTGTGTGTCTGTGCCAGGCCAGGGCCCGCCCCCACATTCCTAATCAAATGTTGTGAAGAGAGGGGTTGAGGAGCCCGGATCCTGGCTTTTTCGGCTCTGCTGCAGGGGCGGAGCTCACACTCAACCGCGCAAAATCCTGCTGTCCGCCTGACTCTATAAAAACCACCTTTTTTCCACTCATCTGCCCTAAAGCATTGGCAGCTCAGGGTCTCTTTCTGCTGAATGAGTTAGTGGCGCCCTCGAAGTTATTTGTACAGTCTCTTACGAAGCTCCTGGATTTCTCATTAAACCCACAAGGGCAGATGCAGGGATGGGGAGGGCCAGGATTTGGGAAGAGGCATCTTAACTCTTTCAGCAACCCACGGGTCCCACGGGAGAGCGAGGGCTCACCCTTCTGGGCTCCGGCGCCCTCTACGGGCAGGTGGTTAGGCTAATGGACTAAGGGAGAGGACACAGGACAGCTGGCTCTGGCTCCAGTTCCATCCCTGACCAGTGTAGACCTGTCTGGGCTGTAGGGTTTCTCTCTCGCCACTGTGATAAAAGGGAAGAAAGGGACTCTCACATTTGTTGATCACTTACTGTTCACTAGCCTCATGCACTTTCGCCTGTCTCATGATGATCTTAGGGTTAGCAACAAGTACCTTGTTGAGTTGTAGCAAGGACTCTGTGAGGTAATTTGTGTGAGGCCCCCGGCCCAGAGATGATTGCTGTTGTGGCCATTTTACAGATGTAGAGACCCTGAGCAAGGGGAAGATGAGGTCGGAGAAGTAGGCAGGAGCTAGACCATGAAGGGACTTTTAGGCCATGGCATGGATTTAACTTTTATTCTGAATGTTTAAGCAGAGGAAGTGAAAAGATCTGACCTACATTTTTAAAAGCACATGGGAGAGACTGCTGTGTGGCAAAAAGCAGGAAAGTGTGGAAGCAGGAGCTCTAGCCCGCCTTTGTTGAGAGATAATGGCAGATTGGGCTAGTGCAATGGAAGAGGGAACAATGTATCTTTAGACAAGGAGTCTTGAAAATGGACCAGATAGGGAGTTAGAGGAAGTCAAGGACGAGTCCTTGATTTTGAGTTTGAGCAACTAGTTGGGTGGTAGCACCATTTCCTGACATTAGAAAGATGGGGAGGGACAGAGTCTAAGTTAGAGATGCCTGTTAGGCATTCCAGTGGAGATGCATGCAGGCAGTTAGATAGATGAGTCTGAACTGGAAGTTCAGGGGCTAGAAGAATTTGGATTACTTAGAATCTCAGTAGCTTAGATGAACCCTTGCATCCTGAATGCTCTTTCCTCAACTAACTGCCTCATGCTAACATCCAAGAAACACCCTTTAAATTGTTTTAAATTGTGGTAACTGACTCATAACTTAAACTTCACTATCTTAACAAATTTTAAGTGTGCAGTTCAGAAGTGTTAAGTATTGCTGTACAGCCAGTCTCTAGAACTTTTTCATCTTTCAAAACTGAAACTTTATATTCATTGAACAAAAACGCCCCATTTCACCCTCCCTCAGCCCCTGGCAACCACCAGAGTAGAAAGAACGACTTTCCACCTCTATGAATTTGACCACTCTGCATGACTCATATAAATGGAATCATACAGTCTTTGTCTTTTTGTGACTGGCTTATTTCACTTAGAATAATGTTCTCAGGGTTCATCCATGTTGTAGTGTGTGCCAGAATTTCCTTCCTTTTAAAGGCTGAGTAATTACTGTATGCATATACCACATTTTGTTTATCCATTTATCTGTCAATGGACATTTGAGTTGCTTACACTTCTTAGCTATTGTGAATAATGCCGCTGTGAACATGGGTGTACAAATATCTCTTTGAGATCCTGCTTTTAATTATATTGGTTATATGTTCAGAAGTGGAATTGTTGGATCATATGGTAATCTATTTTTAACTTCTTTGAGGAGCTGCCATATTGTTTTTCATAGTGGATACACCATTTTACATATCCACCAACAATGCACAAGGGTGTGAATTTGAATCGCTCCTTATTTTTTAAAAGTACCAATTGAGAAAGCCTCAGATTTGAATTTGAAGAATTTAGAATTTGAATTTTAAAGAATGGCACTTTTGGTTGCTCCAATAAGGTTGAGATGTTGACATAATATGAAAGATCCTTATTAGGGACCCAGTCTCCTCAGGAATTTCAAAGAGTTTTTAAAAAGATTAAATATAACGAATGGACCTCTGCTGACTACCTACTATAAACTAGATGGTTTACGTATGTTATCTCATTAATAATCACAGTAGATATTTTGTGTTGGAAATAGGGGATCACAGATATAAAGTGATTGGATAGTGGTAAAATAAGGATTTGAACCTTGACCGGCACGACTCCAAAGACCTTTCTCACAACACAAGGCCAGAGGACTGTTGGAGTGTAGGGGGTAATGACCACCCTGCTGTCAGGGCTGAACTCAATTAATATGGAGTGCAGCTAATTACAGTGGCCCAATCTGCTTGAATTTGGGGACAGGGGATTGTAAAGATGAGAGGGGGCTGGGATACAGGGTTTCTCTTCCTGACCCCACACATATTTCATTTCAATTTAATGCATATGAGCATTTACTCTGGGCCTGGCACGCTCTTAAGTGTTCGGGACACAAAGAAGGTTTTGATAGAGTACCTGCTCAAAATAAAGCAGATGTATAAGCAGCAAACTCTGATCTCATGACAGAGGCAGAGTGGCCTTAATGTGAAGATGGTTATAAAGAATGCACAGATGGGCTTCCTTGGTGGCGCAGTGGTTGAGAGTCCGCCTGCCGATGCAGGGGACACAGATTCGTGCCCCAGTCCGCGAAGATCCCACATGCCGTGGAGCAGCTGGGTCCGTGAGCCATGGCCACTGAGCCTGCGCGTCCGGAGCCTGTTGCTCCGCAGCAGGAGAGGCCACAACAGTGAGAGGCCCGCGTGCCGCAAAAAAAAAAATTGCACAGATAACTTTCCCATCATTTTTGAGTCTAGAAAGCAGTCACTTTTCAATGGAAAACACTAGTTCTGGCAACTGGGCCTGAGAGACACTCCTTAGCTGGATCTAGATAGCCTGGACAAATACACCCATTAGGTACAGATGTTAATTTTTTTAAATTCCAGCATACCGAATAATACTTCACTTAGTAACAATGAAAGTCAGCAGAGTCTGGGGGCCAAACATTGATTGGGATTCTTTCCAACTAAGATCTACCAAAAAACACAGTATCCCCATGTGGATTTGCACTAGGTCTTTAGTCACCTATTCTGTTTCAAGGTAGACTTGGGAGGAAGAAAAGAGGGAGGGGATGATTGAGATCAGGTCAGGAGGAAGAGTTTCAGGGAATCATTCACTGTTCAAAAATTCCTTTGTCAATGGATTCTAACCTCCATTTTGACTACTGCCTCTCTGTTTCCCTGGTTCCTGGATCTAGGCCCTCAGAGCTTGATTTCAATATAGGAAACCAAGTAGGGGATCCTGACGTCTCTCAGATTGCCAAAGGAATCCGCATGTGAAGAAAGTTCATTTGGGACACTGGTGCTTTCTGGGAGGTGTCAAGCCAGCACTACCCAGTTACTAGACTGCAAGCAAACTAAGGAAAGAGGCTATGTTATTCATTTCTGTAGCCCCTATCCCCAGCTGGGCATATAGTGCTTGGTGCTTAGTAGGTAATTGGTAAAGTATTATAAAGTGAACTGTATTTTTGGTTCCCTACAGAGTCTGCCTGTCTTCAGAACCCAATGTTTGGTAGAACAGCCACCATCAACCAGGACAGGAAAACCCTTAGGCCTTCAGGCCAGTTAGACTTTCCAGGGGTTCATGTCATTGCTATTTCCTTCCCACCCAGAAAAGTACAGGTTAAGCCACAGCCACTAGGCAAAGCTGATTCCCTTTGATGTTTGGACCCACCCTGTCTGGAAGAGACAAAGTGCCTTCTGACTCAAATTCCTACCAGCAAAGAGAGTTATGCACCTGTGGCCGCCAAACCCTTCCACTTCAACCTTCACGGAACCCAAAAGCCACTGTTTTTATAAAACAGCCTCTGATCCCAAACAACCGAGGGATGAGGGGTAAGCCTGAAATCCACCCAAACAAAATTATTGAGTTGGATATAAAGAGGTCAGTAGAAAGATGATCATGGTGATACAATCCAGGCCCTGCTGCTTGCCCATCCTGAAAACTCTTGATGCCAGAGAGGGACTGTTTACTAGTCTGAGGTTTTGATGGGAAGTCCTGGCTATACTGGCACTCAACAGTGGTATCTCAGCGTTTCCAAGGGAGATGTTTCCCCTTATTCCCTTGGCACTGAGTGGTCATTAGAAGTCCTCACCATGGATAGTCTCCTCTCTCCAGAGGATGAAACAAAGATGTTGGAGCTGGGAGAATGGCTTGTTTTCTTTCAAATGCAATAGGAGAATAAGAACTTGGAATCTCAAGTTCCAAGTTCTGGGAAATGCATTGAGGGCTTCAGAATTTCCTTTTAATAAGCTCTTTAAAAATAAGACAGAGAACAACCTTTCTTATTTAATGGATAGTGTCTCTTATTTTTACTGTATATTTACTGCATGCTTGCTATTATTAACATGATGAGGACATACATGACGGATTCCAGAAGATCACCTTCTGGAAAATATGAGTGTATCTGAGTCAGGAAAGGGAGGTTGTTGGTTCAGGGAGCGATACCTAAATGAGGATGGAGGCAGAGGAGACAACCTGAAATTTGAAACCTGGAGGGTTTGGTCATTCAGTGACTCAGTATGTGACATCCCTCTATGTTCTGCAAATGAGCTAATGGTTCCCCTCAGACTGTGCTTGGGGCTGTTGGAGAGAACAGGTGTAGGATAGACCAGTTCCCAGGATGCTGGTACCTGTCACGGATGTTACCTGGCTGTAGGTGAGACCAGGTCTGGATATTCGCTCTAAAATATCACGTACCATTTCTGAATTCTCACCACAACCCTATGAGATAGGTATTTTCATATCTTACTTTTACAGATGAGGAAACCAAAGTTCAGAAAGGCTAATTAATTTGTTCAAGGTCGTATAGCAATTAAAAGCAGCAGGGCTTGGATTCTAAACTTAAGTCTGTCCACCCCTAGAGTCTGAGTTCCTAACCAGTATGCTATATAGAATCTCCAGAGTAAAGGAAAAAGCATGGGTTGGGAACACAGATATATGTTCACATTCCAGCTCTACCACTTACTAAAGTAGTCTCTGTGACTTTGGGCTAATTGCTTAAACATCAGTGAGACAACGTTCTCATTTGTAAAATGGGGGCAATAATCTTAACCTCATGAGATGTTGGGAGGACTAAATGACATAAAGGACATAGACTCCTAGTAGGGAGGCTGCCACACGTGGACCTTCAATAAATGGTAGCATCCTTTGGTTATTTTAGTAGATTGTCAGCTCCCTGAGGAACGAGGCAATGTCGTTGTGCCTCCCACTAGTACAATGCTTGGCCAAGTGCCTGGCACATATTAGCCCTTTTCTAAGCATTATGAATAAATGAAAGGTGAAGAAGCTGGATTTTACTAAAGGGTAGTAAACATACTTTGGTAACTTAAACCAATCGGAGAGAAGCTAGCCAAGGGTAGAGGTGGGACTTTCAGGGCTAGAATTATTGAACTGCCCCAAGGAAGGGCAAGAAAGATGACTATAAGGTCAGTGTAGAACCCTCCACAGACAAATGTACAAATATCTTTGGGGGATAGATAGGGAAATATCTTACTTATCTTGGGGGTCATGGAAAGGTCAGGATTCAAGAGCCATGTACAGAGCAGCCCACAAGAGGAGATGCCTCAGCTCCTTCCCAGACAGGAGTGTAAGAATCAGGTTTGGGTTGGGGAGAGAATACCACCTAACTGGTAGCACCACTCTGAATACCCTCAGGCTGAGGAGAGTGGTTAACTCCTACCTGGAGATGGATGAGGCTGAGTCCTCAAAGCAAGAATTAGGAACAGGTCCCATGAGCCCATCCAAAGGTCTGTGGACTTGGATCTAGTTCAGTTAGGTCTGCAAAGACCAGGAATAATGATCCTTAGTACTGTGTGAGATATCTAGAACTCTAGTTCTTTCTGTGGTCCCTGAAATAAAACAATAGTTTAACAATTAAATAAAAAACAAATAAGAAAAATTCCTTAAAAACAAAAAGAGGAAGGGCAATATATTGTCATTGTCTTGGAAAGGACAGGGATTTTGAGTCAGGCAGAATGGCTTTGAATCCCAGAATCTAGAGCATGCCCCTTAATTTCCTTGGTTTCCTTAATTTCCTTGGTTCTCCTTATCTGTAGCATGAGGATGTTAACACCTAGCTCTTTGGGTGGTTTTAAAACAATTGTAAGTATCTAGCACAGCACCTGGCACATGGGAGACATTTAGAAAATGTCATTTCCTTTCCTCACCTTGCATGTTTGTCCAGGAACTCGTTAAAAATAGGACCTTATATCCTAATCTATGGGAAGGTCAGAGGGAAGACAATTTTAGTAGGACTGTAGCTGGTGACAGCCTGGAAAGAAAACAGACTAAATACCTGACACTTGTAAGAAAAAACAGAAATGGGGGTTAGCAGGCCCAAAGGGTCTAGGAG